GAAGCAGGTGTGTCGGATAACGTAATCAAGGTAAGGGAGCAAAAACAGAGTGAGGGGAGTGAGAAAGGCAGGTGCAGCCGGGCAAACCTGACAGAAAGCAGTTACATGTTTGGCTTGTGATAGACAGAAATAGTTATTAGTCTGTGTGTCTTTATGTTTACTGGAAAATCACACGTCGCGTTCTCAGCTCTGATGCATCAAATCTACGAAGTACCAAAAAAAAAATATAGGACAAAGGTACAGGGGTGTCCACATACTTTTGGCCACAAGATGTAGCTGTGTATTTCTGTTTGTTTGTTTATTTTCTTTAAACATGCAGTTTTGTTTGTCGTGATAAATTCTCAGTATGTGATTGGTCGGTTGGTCTGTTCTGTTTCCAGAACGAGGGTTCAGACCCGTGTCCAACTTCAAGAGGAACCTCTTGGCCTTGTCCAGCTGGTACTCCACCTACACATCGGCCATCGCCTTCATCGTGAGTTCGCACATGCTCAGACTGGACAGCTGCCAGTTTCCTTCTCAATGTGGATTTCAGTGAGCTGGGATGGACACACACATGAGACCATAACGTTTCGTTATTGTGACAATAGCAGCAGTCCAGCAGGATTATAGAAGAAAAAAATGTTTTTATTTTATAAAAATAAGAACCAGATGCTGATCTTTACTTGGTAAAGCCCTCACTATACTTTCTAAATCGCATTCAGTCTTCTGAAAAATCCAGAAACATGTTCCTATAATTGAACTACTTTGGGAATTATTTAAAGAAATGTAAATAGGATAAGTGCACCTTTTTATTTTATGATGTTGCAGTCCTTTTTTAAATTTCTGTATTATAGATAATGGAACATCAGATATCTTGGTTTAACCTTGTTATATGAAATTATTGCACATTTTTCACTCAAGCTGAAACATTTTCTTCTCACATAGATGTGTTTTCATCTCAGTCTGTGGCACATGAACTGAATTCACACCACTTTGTTTTTATTAACTGCAGCTTCAAAAACCCGCTCCACATGTGTGTTTACGTTTAGGTCTACATGTACGCAGCATGGCATGGCTGGACCATTCCCATGTTCCTGTTCCTCGCCATCCTCCGCCTCTCTTTGAATTACCTCATTGCCAGGTGAGTGCAAGCTCCACCCACTCTGTCAGCCAATCACACAGCCAGAACGAGGTCCAGAATCAGAACCAGACATAAGTTTCTTTTTATTTTGACAGTGACATAAAGGCGACTTTTTACATCTGGAAACAAGCTGACTCAGATAACACACAAAGCTGTTTTAAAACCACCTGATTGTAATTAGCCAGCAGTTTTGGATATACCCCGTATTTTCTGCACCATAAGGCGCACCGGATTATAAGGCGCAGTCTCAATTACAGGGTCTATTTCTGTACTTAACCCATACATAAGGCGCATGCTAAAATGTAACAGAAGCAAAACAGTGAGTTTAGTTGAACTTTATTCTACTATTTAACAATACACTCACATTATTTTTTAATCAATCTTCTCCCACAAATCCACTTCCGAACCATAGATTCATTGATTTTGAATTCTTTCGCAGCTGCTCTATTCCCATTTACAACCGCGTAACTGATAGCCTGTAGTTTGAATTGTGCCTTGTAAGCATGTCTCTTCACTGGTGCCATTTTCGGGGGTCCTTAGACCGGTTTAGACTGGTTTATCGCTGCCAGCGTACTTGGTGTACGTATTACGTCCCTGTGTCAGCGGGAAATGGTCCGACAGTCAATCAGGCGGAGCGCTTACCAAAGTCGCACAACAACATTTTTACAGATTTTGGAACTCAGTGCACACATAAGGCGCACCGGATTATCAGGCGCACAGCCGATTTTTGAGAAAATTTAAGGCTCTTAGGTGCGCCTTGTAGTGCGGAAAATACGGTAAATCTGAAATGCAGCGTAGATGCTGCGTGTAGTGAAGGTGAAATGATCTCATCCTGTGTGTGCCTGTGTGTGACTATGATGCACTGCTGTCAGAGGCTGGAGGATCCAGTGGAGCATCGTACCCGACGTCTCTGAGCCTGTGGTAAGACATCTCTCTTTATATCTGCAGGACTTGACCTGATCAAGAGCCAATGAGACAGTTACACAGCTGGGGGACAAGTTGTATCACTACTTGTACTGTGAAATACAGGAGTGACATTTCATTGATTTAACACCTGGATTACTGATCATGCTCTTAACATCAGGTGTGCTCAGGATGATGTCGAGGTGACATTTTAGCTCTGCCTCTTCTGTTTTTCCAGGAGCCTCCGAAAAATGACCTGACGGTGTCGGAAAAGTTTCAGCTGGTTCTGGATGTTGCTCAGAAAGCTCAGGTGAGATGTGACAGAGTCTCGACGACACAGCACCGCCTTCACACAGATGCTAAATTTGAAGTGACGCCAAATAACATTACTGTAAAAAGGTGGCATTGTGATAGTAAACTGGATTATAATTCAGGGTGAAGTGAGGCCAGAAGGGAGCTGACAAACCCTAGGTGAAACAAACAAATGTAAGAAACAAGCGTAGCCACATGGGAGAAAACCATGCAAGATAAAAATGGCTGCTCACCTCAACAGCTTCTGTGCTATTTGGGCTTCTCACAGAGTAGCGGTTTGATTTGATTTGATTTATTATTTCAAGCATGTAAAGACAGTTGATATGTCAACACACATAATTTTACACATATCCAACAAATGCTAATCCAATATCAATTTGCTTATACCTAGTACATGCTTGAATGGAGTAGGAAGAAATCAGACTTATCCAGTCCTACCCCATGACATCATCTTACCATCATTGGTTTGCAAGCAATAAATGATTCACTTCTACACACACACATATTATACTAAAAAAGAATATAACAGTGTTAACATTCTACATCACACAAGTGATATACTAAAGAATTATTACAAAGTGTACACCACAC